GTACCTTGACAGTGTGTCCGTGGGTCAACTCAACAATTCTATGTTGACTTATCATGTATTCCCAGTCTAGCAGTCAGTAAATAATCAGATGTCTTTGACTTGATGTTAATTGGGTGCTTTATTAATATCTTACCCCAAACAGGGGAAATCCACAGGTAACGGGACAGCCTAATATTTCAAGGGGTGGTAGATAGGCTGCATGCAGTCGTGGGACCTAGGCTGCACTCTCTCATGGGACGTAGGTGGGTTGGGATTAGGGCCAATTCTAGATGTTTTGGGGTTGTTAAAAGCATCAGAAAGCTGGAAAACCCAGTCTTACCACCCTTTAAAATGTTGGACTTCCTGTGACAGCATCTGGGGTAGGATATTAATAAAGAACCGGTAATTGTTGTTCTGAAGTATTTTAGGCCTGTCCATTCAGAAAAATGTTGGATCCAGCTTTGTGTGTGTATGTGTGCCTCCCTCATCTCCTCTTCCATTATACAGAGCCTAGTAGCATGGTTTTGGATAGGACGGTAAACCTTAAGACATGGTGATACATTTGCATTTTGTGTCTTTTTACTGTTGTTAAAGTGGATACATAAATATTGTTAGTCCTTCACATGCACCAAATATTGATAATAATATGTTTATATGGGAATAGCTTTAGACTTAAGTCATATTGCATTGTTACATATGAGAAAAACCATGATGGAAAGGGTTTTGAAGTATCTAGTTCAATCTGATCTCAGTTAATATTGCATATCAGTTCATAGATATTAATATTTTGGTATTGGTCACGACTATAAATAAATTAAGTAGGAGATTACCTGCTGGCCTGCTAACACTTTCTCTTTAATTATTATCATTTTTTAAAAATTAAACCTTTTAACAATCATATATCATTGCAGCAACTAATCACAGAATTCATCCCATCTCGCTAGCTCGCGAGATCTCGTGGCCATTTCCACAGGCTGTTCTATCTTCTAGGGGTCTTATGAGATGGCTGTCTTTGCTGCGTCTATACACAGCATGGCCAAAAGTGACTGGCGTTCATTCGATGAGGTTGACACACTTTCTCCCAGATGCAGCTGTGCGCAGCTTTGTTTTCGCTACTCTCTTTTGGGTGAATGAGTGTTGTTTCTGGAATGTGTTGTTGCTTTGAGTGTGCCATACTTGGCCCATGGCTGCTCGTTAAAAAGCCATGATGTAAAGTGTCCTTAATATTGTCGGCCCATCTTTTCCTAGCCATCCTCTTCTAGCAGACCTTTTGAGAGATAGAGCCTGTGATGGTATTTTATGTTGCTGATATCTAGTAAAGTTAACTGTTTGGAGATGGAACCTTATCTAAAGTCTCAGTGCCAAGAAGAGAGCCCTGCATAGGGGATTCACGTAATTTGCACACCCACACAAATTATTCAAAATAAAGTATTTAATTTAAAACTATGTATGTTTTTTGTAGGAAATCAAATGAACTGTCTTTGTGAATCAAACTGAAATCTCAATATTGATTAAAATTCCTATTCTGATTTGCAGAATTTATGCATGCATTAAACAAATGGAACAAACATGACTAACTTGAAAAATGTTGGTGAATTTTCTGATGGATGAAGCCTGAATAACTTCTGACACTTGTTTTTTGGGAAGCGAACACATAAATAAACATTTAGAAAGCAAAGCTCATGTATGCCCTTCAGAGACCGTGGCACATAGTTCTGCTAATTTTCCCCGCCTCCGCCTGCTATTTTTCTGTTGCTACAGATGCAACAGTACTGTTCACCATTGTGTTGGGCACAAGAAACACACACACAAAATCAAAATAAAATTACTGAACACGACAAACTATCATGAATGGCAGATTGAAAAGGCCAATTGTGCCAAAAATATGAGTACATTTTTTTTAGAAGGAATGGGACAGGCAACTCAGTGACACTTCGTTCTATGAACCACAGACACAAAACAGCACGGTAAAAAACAACAAAATGGTTAAACAAAATACAATCACAACCTTCATCAAGGAAGATTTTCCACCTGCCCGGTCAACGCTCCGTTTGTCAAGGGAAATTTTCTGGGAAAGCCTGGTCTCTGTATGCTTCCCAAGATACCTGAACCTGACAACGCAGGCTGACCAATTGTATCCTCCTGCGCTTGTCCCACAGAACCCATTTCTGAGTTCCTCGACCGTATTTTGAAGCTCCTGATCACTGGTCTCCCATCTTGCATCAAAGATACTGGCCATGCTATCTCTGTCTTTCAATCCCTTCAGTTTACATCTTCTTCCAGGTACCACATCTTTGACTTGGATGTTACCTGTCTCTACACGTCTGTTCCACATTCTAATGACCTCCTCCAGGCTTTGCAGTTCTGTCTGGATCGTAGAGTCAGCCCTGCTGCAGCAACTGACCCTTTGATAAGTCTGGCCAAGTTTATGCTTACTCTAAACTCTTTAGAGTTTAATGGCTACAATTTCAACCAGATCAGCGGCGTCACTATGGGCACCAAGATGGGACCTAGCTATGCCTGTCTCTTCATGGGCTACCTCAAGCATCAGATATGTCATGCATATACTGGTGGGCTCCCCGAGCTGTATAAGAGGAATATCAATGATTGCATTGGTGTCACTGATATGCCCCTACCTGAACTGCAGGACTTCATTCATTTGTTCTCCAATTTCGGTCCCAGCATCTGATACATTTCCTGCATATCACCTTCCTCTGTGCATTTTCTGGATCTGACTGTCACCATGGATTCTAAAGGCCTCAGCACCTCAGTGTACTGTAAGCCTACTGATTCCTACAAGGACTCCATTCCTTTCTACCAGCTTCTGTGCTTCCGCAAACTTTGCCAGGAGAACGACGACTTTCACTACAAGGCCCTAGAAATGCTGGACTTCTTCCGTCTTTGAGGGTATCCCAAACACTTCTTATCTGCTGCCTTTCACCAAGCACATCTTTCCATCATGATAAGCCTCTGATTTCCAAGCCTAAACACACCACAACAGACCTATCCTCATACTGACCTACTACCCTCAGAACATCTGTGCCAAATATATTTTCTTCAGGCATCTCTGCATCCTTAGGACTGACCCTGCTGCCAGCACAATTTTCTCTGAACATTCTCGTGGCCTACAGACATGACCGTAACCTCAAGCACATTCTAGTCAAAAGTCGGTTATGTCCTGCGTCTGAGTCCCACTTCGGCACAGTCTCTTGCCACAGATCTCTATGCAGGACCAGTCCATATGTGGTCCAGGGGACCAGTCTGGAATTCCTTAATGCCACCTTCCACTTACGCAAAGCATTCTATTGCACGAGTCGTAATGTCATTTACGTAATCAACTGTAAGAGATGTGGCATGTAATACAACAGTGAAACGGATCTAAGACTGGCTGACAGGTTCAAACATCTTTTGGATGTGCAGAACAGTACCCTAAAACCAGTACTGTTGCACTTCAATTCTCAGGATCACTAAGGTGTCCACCACATGAAGGTGAAAGCCATTAAATCAAGCCACTGCAGCGATAGAGTCCGTAAGTATTTTTTGAGTTATGGCCCTCAGCAATTCACGGCTATTTATTCTGCAGTTCAGTGTGTTAATTTAATTGCCCTGGCAAGACATCCACGTGGCTGCAAGTTGATATGGGAGTTTAGTGATTTTGTGTATTCGTGTGGTTTTATTTGATTTATATATTTGTGCCTACGAAGGCTCTATAGCTGCAGCGTTCACATTCTGTATGTGCTTGTTATATTGTGAAGTTTGCTGATTTACTTTTTGTTCGGTTTAACCTACAAATATGAGAAGACTAGCCAGCCCGTCTTAGGATTTGTAATATCGTGCCAACAGATCAACCCAGTCATCTTTTTCACCATTCCCTTGTTCGGTGGACAGATTGGCTCTGTCATCTCCAAATGGATAATAATACACAACTACACACAATCCCCTAGTGATCACACACAAAGTTCATGTACATAACAGATTATGCAGATGTGAGGCAGAAAATAGAAAGAATAGGAGTTGCAGAAACACTTGACAGTTGCAATACAGTTTATTAAATGACTGACTTCCTTATGGGAGCTTCTGTGGCGTCATTGGTAGGGGGAGGGGGAATAGACACGCTGCCAACCCTCCCCACACTCCCACAAGTAAGACGTAAAAGGCGACTAAATTGAGGTATTTTCTTTGAGTGCATCTGCCTCAGAAGCAATGAAACAACAGTCTGTATTCAGGTAAGCCTGATCTTTAAAACGGATGTGCATGCAAAGGTCAGGTTGTGGAAAAGACAAAAGTCCAGAAGTAGATGATGAGCCATAACTTTCTGCTAGAGTGTAAAAACGGTGAAGAAGTGGTTAAGTAGTCAATTGAAAGTAAGAAAAACAATAACCCGACGAGAGGTGAAATTAGTCAGTTTCCCAGTAAAACACAATCACCAAAGATAAAATAACTAGGTTTCACTCAAAAAACTTGATTAGGCGTGGCAAAATGTTAAGCTTCAAAGTTACTTTTGCTTCCGACATCACTTTGCTAATGCAGTTTCCAAAGTCTGCGGTTTCGCTGCTTGAGCTACTGAGGATAGTGCTTTGTGCAGCCCTGTGAGCTGTATTTTTCATGTGGAATGCCTTTCATTTGTGCAGCGGTTATGTCATTGTTTTTAATATAGCCAGTTTATGTGTGAGCTGGTGAAATACCTCATGTAATAATTCTACGTGTGTATAGCCAACTTATTGTGCCTGACTAATTTCATCAACGACAGACTGCATTTATGGTGGCGACTTCGCTTTGACACCTTCAGCAACAGCCATATGCATTTAGTGATTGCATATTTCTGAATTGTTTGCTCACCAGTTTTTCAAATGGGACAGTGAGGGACATTTCAATTGATTTTCACTGGCACAGGAATGGATCAAGTATGGGGTGACCCGATTACACTGAAGTTGTAACCTTGAATAACACTCCTAGAAACGGGTTCCCTACTGGTGATCTGGCCAGATTTGGAGAAAATCATGCACTGGGGAGTGTCTTCAGGCTCTGTACGCCACTCAGGGGAAAGTCAAGAGTAGTTTATCAGAGCACAGTGGGTACTATTTGGTATGGAGACGTTTGCTGGCTTTTGATTAGAGAGACGGAGCTAATATGGGCTCATCCTGAATGCCGTGGTGTTGATTCTTTACCGAGATGAACCCAGATCTGGCCAATTCAAGATGGGATCATCGTTTCCTTTGTACCCAGAGTATGTCTGCATGTATGAAAGGTGATGAAAAACAGTCTGCACAAAGTAAACCAGATCTGAAAACTTATGTGTATGCAACATCACACTCCTGGAACAAGATCAGAGTCCAGATGCTGGTGAGCAACCAGGACTTTCTACTGTACTTTCCAGCTCATGAGTGCAGAAGAAGAAGAAAGTGAAAATAGCATGTACGTGGATTGTAAAGTTATATCAATTGTTTCATTCTCCCCCCCCCCCCCCCCCTTTGTGAGTTCCCGTCAACCATGGGAAAGGGGGAGGGTGGAGGGATAGACCCACTGTTCCTCCCCCCTCCCCCAACAAGTATTTCAAGAAAATCTAATAATTAGGGTGCTTATTTTGAAGTGTCTGTGCCGAGAGCGGAAGAACCAACAGATTGCATATAAATAAGCCAGAACTGTAGTACGGATGTACACACAAAACTCAGGTTCTGGAAGAAGACTTAAATCCAGAAGTGGATGAATGGCGAAAACTTTCCACTGGAGTGTATAGACGGTGAACACGAAGAAAAAGGTAAAGATGTTATATTGGCACCCGAGATAACAGATGATGCCCTCCAAGACTGTCCCAAATACAACATAGCAAGGCAAAACCTTTGGCCAAGAGAAAGGCCAGTAAAGTTTGGTTTACGGGTCGCTGAGAGAATTACAACAGACGGTGAAGTTCATACTAGAGACTATATTGCAGATATAGATAACCTATTTCAAGCGAATAAAGGAAGAAGAAGACAAATGAAGATATTTTTTTCTTTAACAAAGTAATAACTGAAATTTATACTATATAAACCACACCATAGAAATTATTTCACAATATTTATGTGTAAATTATAAATAAGTATCCCCACGTTATCAATGACATGATTCACCTCAGTGCACTGATTTTCTTCTATGGTAGAGTGAGGTCAGGACTAGCATTGATAAAAAACCTTAGTAAATTTGGCCTAGATTTTTTTGGGTTACTTCTAACTCCAAAGAGGTCAGATTAGCAAAAACTAACAGTATCTGTGTTTACAGACTGGAAACCGCTGATGCTGACTGGAGGAAGTAGCCACTTTGTGAACTCATAATTTGACTACTTTCAGAAAGGCTACATTCATATTGAAAGTGGCCATATTTCTTTAGTGTGTTATGACCAACTGTAAAAAATTAGAGAACACATGCTTTGATGGTTGGAGTTTATAGGAAAAGGTCAATTGTGAGTTGTTTGAGACTGCAAGAGTTGAGCCAGTGGTTTAATTGGCAGCAAAAACAGTAATTAGGTCAGTAACGGCTGGAGTTTATAGGAAGGGGTCAGTGGTGGGTTGTTTGGGAAATGCAAGAGTTAAGCCAGTAGTTTAATTAACAGCAAAAACAGTAATTAGGTCAGTGACAGCTGGAGTTTATAGGAAGGGGTCAGTGGTGGGTTGTTTGGGAAATGCAAGAGTTGAGCCAGTAGTTTAATTAACAGCAAGGACAGTAATGAGGTCAGTGACTAGATCAGTTATTATTTGTCTTTGTGATGTATTGGGCTAGTCTACTCACCATCAAGACAACTGTCCTAGTCTCAATACCCTTGATGGTAGGACTTCATTAGATCCTGCCTGTACAGCTGTGGTGTTAACACAGCCACATACAAGAGCTGTCAGAGATTTAACTCTTTGAGTCCCAGGGAACACATCATACGTTCATAGGTTCTTACCTAGAAGCCCAATGCACGCATGATGTGTTGATTTTAGTCTGTCTTTACTACCCATTGGGCCTGTGATGCTCAACCCCCTGGGACTTAAAGAGTTAAAGACATGATAAATGATTGTGATGGTCAGTAGAACTGGTAAGATGATGCACAGCTTCATCACTGGTGTTGGTGTGTAAAGATAAAGGAGAACATAGTTCAGAGTGTTAATGTGGCAATACAAGACAAGATAAGGAATTGTGGGATTAGAAAACAAGCGGGTATAGCAGATTTTATCACAAAATATGAGTTAGATCAGCGGTTCTCAACTTTTGGGTTGCAACCACTTTCATGGTCAAACGACCCTTTCACAGGAATTTTCCAAGACCATCGAAAAACACATATTCACTGAAGTTATGAAGTAGCAGTGAAAATAATTTTGTGTTTGGTGTCGCCACAGCATGAGGAACTGTATTAAAGGGTTGCCACGACATGAGGAACTGTATTAAAGGGTTGCCACGACATGAGGAACTGTATTAAAGGGTTGCCACAACATGAGGAACTGTATTAAAGGGTTGCCACGACATGAGGAACTGTATTAAGGGGTTGCCACGACCTGAGGAACTGTATTAAAGGGTTGCCACGACCTGAGGAACTGTATTAAAGGGTTGCCACGTCATGAGGAACTGTATTAAAGGGTTGACACGACATGAGGAACTGTATTAAAGGGTTGCAGCATTAGGAGGGTTGAGAACCATTGAGTTAGATGGTTCCGGTTTGTGCGGGGGGGGGGAGCTTGTGGCAAACATAAACTGAAAAGAGAAACCAAATTCTCAAAGAGTCCTCATAAAGTTTAGTCCTTATTTTTTTTTTTTTATGAATAACAGTTGATTATTCATCAGTAAAAAAAAAAAAAGCCTCAGCAGACGCGGGTAGCAAGCAGTTGATCACAAAAGTCATCAATATCAGCTAAGAAAACCACAATAAAAGATCATTTAAATCATCATTTGCTGCTGGGGCAGGTTGAACAGAGATCAGTTCCCCTCCCTCCTTTCAAAACCACTGAGAGGGGGGAGATGTTGTTTATCATGAACAGGATGTCTTCAATAAAATTTCTATTCAGTGTATTGCCATTTTCAGGGTCGGTCATGGTAACATTTGAATTAAGCATAGATGCTGTATATAGCTAGTTAGAATAATATAAATTCAACTGATTTTCCAGAACATAAGCTAACCTTTTCTTGAGCACATACACCTCAGATGTGACCCTTGATAAGCTTCGGGCTTCACCCATATAGTTTTTACTTCTGTCTAACTATAATTCTTTTTTTTTATTATTATTGATATTATGCATCATACTTAAGCCTTGCTGTATTTCAGAATTCATTGCTGTTGTTTCTGATGTCACTTTTGCTTTGACTCAGACTTGACAAATGCTATGTTTCAGACTGGGAGTCGCAGTGGCATTGGTGGCTAGACGCCTGCCTGCGGATCGGAAGGTCGTGAGTTTGCTTCCTGGCGGAGCTGGACTTTAAAACAAAAATGACACCCAGGTCAACCCAGCCTTTAGTGGGTACCAGGTGCAGCCCTGGGAAGCAAAGGCGGCTGGCGTGGTGCTGACCACATCACCCACCAAGTGCCGATTGGTCTATAAAAATAAAGGTCTGCCCTATATGCCCAATACACCTAAAGGCGTAGAAAAGGAATTTTTGTTTACTTACTATGTTTCAGTCTACTACTGTTTTTGTATTTTAGTCTTTACACTTGCTATATTTTATACTTGGTACTTGCTGAATTTCGTTCTTGATGCTATATTTCAGGCTTGATCTTTACTGTATTTCAAACTTGATATTTAGCTATATTTAAGGCTTCTTCTTTTTGTTCACCTGAATGACATAATTGTGTTGCGCTCTTTACAGCATAGCTGCGATATTTGTGCATTTCTACTGACACATCTGACTTCATCAAGCATTTGTTGACCGTCTAGCTTCTCAACTTTAGGGCTGGATACCTGCTATTTTTTCCAGACTTATCACTTGTTATATTAAAAACTTGACTTTTGCTTGGTTTCAGGCTCCGGGTTGGGCGTACTTGCTTTATTGACCACCTAGCTTCCCGGCTTTCAGGCTTGATACCTGCTATTTTTCTATACTTATCACTTGTTGTATTGAAAACTTGACTCTTGCTTGGTTTCAGGCTCCAGGTTGGGCGTACTTGCTGAGTGCCCTTGGCCTGTTCATTTACCAAACCTTGGATGCCATAGATGGGAAGCAAGCCAGGAGAACCAAGTCCAGCTCCCCACTGGGAGAGCTGTTTGACCATGGCTGTGATTCTATCTCCACCGGTCAGTCATTTTGTTAAATGTTTCTTTTTACTTAGTCAGCATCTATGGCCTAAGCATTTACAAATGCGCTTGGTTAAGCCGAGGTGCCAGGTTTGATTCTAGCTGTGGGTGATTTGGCAGCAGACCCCCCTGTGTTGATTTCAACAGTGGTATTTCCTGTTAAAATGCCCCAACCCCCATCATAAGAACTTCATGCTCGGTCTTGGGTGAGGTAAGACTTCCAGGTGTTAGACCATCGGGTATATTGGGCCATGGCATAAGAAATATGGGCTGACCAGTTCCCTTCCTTGCTGCTTTTCCTGGCCCATGAATTCTGAGAATTATATTTATGAGGCTGTCTTAGCCCGGTGGGCAGTACTGTTCTTGACAAATGCAGTCTCTGTTGAAGTACTGTATTCCAACAAATGGGCTAGTCGTCTAGTCCACTTACCACTATCTTCTGTTCTTCTTCTTTTATTATACTGCATATGCCGTGTAGTGTCACAGAGAGAAGTTCATTGTAGTTTCATCTTTTGCTAGATTGTATTGATGTCATTTTGCATTTTCCCAGTGTGGGTTCCGGTGCTCCGTTGTGGGAAAAACAAGCAAGCATGTCATAGGAGTGAACTAACTGGGAACTTCCTTTGAAGTCGGAGTGCATCTGCCCGAGCGACAAGGAACAAGCAACTGCACACAAATAAGTCATTAAAACGGATGTACACGCAAAACTCAGGCCCTGGCACAAAGCCAAAGTCCATATTGATGAACAACCAGGACTTTCCGCCAGAGCTTACAGCCGGTAAACAAAGAAGTAGGAGGAGAAGAAGATATTGCATTTCTGGAGTGTCCTTTTTATTCCTTCAGCTCCCATCTCTTTCTTGGTCTATCTCTTGCCTTGTGGCCTGCTGTTCTAATCAAATATGCTCTAGCTGCTGGCTGATATTGTTCCATTCTGACCAGATGATGACCAAATCATTTGGTTCTTTGATGTTCTGTGAAATCATTTACCAGTACTGAACCTACAATTGCTGTTAGTTCTTCGCTGGTGACTCTTGTTCTCCCATCTTATTTCTTATACATCTCTTCTCACCTGTTGTAACATAACCACTGTCTGCTGTAGGGTTTAAATGGAACCTCTGAATTTGATTGGTTTTGTTCCCCATAGAATATAGCTTTGTCTGTTTATTCATGTCTTTAATGTCCTCAGACATTCAGTGAACTTTATAAATCTTTTTTTAGTGCTCAAGCGTCTGCACTGTATTGCCGGGTTAAGTAATTAAATATATAACATTTGACATTTCTTGTTTTTAACGTCGTTTACTTGAGCGCTTAACGTGTGGCAAACATGAGATATATTTGGGGACATGCTATAGAACACAGCTGGCCTTCATGGAAGCAATTAGGTACTCAACGTTTACTGTATATAACACACTAAAGTTTTCATTTGAGTGCCATGAACATGCCTTTCAAAACCAAAAGTGGGTACTGAAATGGCTATGAAAATATTTTCTATGTGAGGTATAGCATGTGGAGTATGTATTCACCATGCCTAAATGATCACCACCCACCTTGTTACATTCTAAATGGTGAGTCAGAAATATGGCTACCTGTTTAATTGTATGTTTAACCTTCTTCTGCCTTTCTATCCCCCAATGGAGCATAGGCCCTCAACCAACTCACGCCAAGTTGTTCTATCCTTCGCCATTACATGAAGCTCTCCCCATGTCCTCCTCATCTTTCTAACTTCATTCTCCAGTTCTCTTCTCCATGTCTTTTTTTAGCCTTCCTCTATTCCTATGCCATTGTGGGTTCCAGTGCAAAGACATTCTAGTTATATAAAGTGTAAAAGGTAAAGGTAAAGTCGGGAGATGTGAACCAGCGTCATTGCACACGGTTATAAACCATAAGTGATCTGCCACCAATACCGACAGCTGATAAGAATTGTCCGCCTGTGTCGCCGTTCGCACGTAACTCTGTAGCTACAGTGACGTTCTTCCATTTACCCCAGAGTGTCAACTCTGGTACCCATTTCCTAGAGGCTGGGTGAACCCCGGGAACCGCCCGGTTTTGAACACCGACCGTGGGCTGCAGTGAGTCTCAGTTGGATTTGAAAGTGAGCCTCTTATCGACTGCCTAACGCGGCCCCTAACAATAAAGTGTGCAAGTTCTAAAGAAACAGCATTGCACCATTTTCAGAACACATTAAAAACTGAAAATATATTGGAGCCTCTGTGTAGGGAACTAATTCATTGAAGACAAGTCTTCCTGTTCTGAAAACACTGAAAATTAAAGAGAGCTGGAAAAAATAATATGGGAAACTGTTTCAGTCACATTAAAAGGGATTACTATTGTGAAATCAGTGCTGAAAGTAAAACTGGAAGACTACTGAGCAAGTGGGAGACGGTGGTACGGGTGGTAAACTATCAAGATATAAATGAACAGCTGTCAGAGTGTACAGTGAAGATGGGAAACTGTTGGTAATCCATAGCTGCTATCCTTCATTGTAAAGAAGACACCTGATTCAACTGAATAATGTTGTTGATTTTAAGGAACCGTGATCCTAGGAGCAAGTATCACACTTCAGCTGGGACAGACTCCTGGCTGGTTGATGTTTGAAAACCTGGCAGCATATTTCCTGTTCTACTGTGCACACTGGCAGACATACGTCTGTGGGACACTTAAGTTTTCCAAGTAGGTTTTTTTTTTTAACTGCTGCAGGCAAAGCAACATCGTGTACGTTTTCTTGAATTAATTTATGAATTGTCATACTGTTGTAATATTCTGCTTTTTAAAATAATTAAATATTTCAACATTTCTGATATTGTATTGCTATTTATTTTTTAACTTATGGTGTTTCCTTAGTGGTACGATTGTTTTACTCAGTGTTACTGCATGGTATTGGGAGTTGCCGTGGCGTTGGCGGCTAGACGCCCGCCTGCGGATCGGAAGGTCGTGGGTCATAGGTTCACGTCCTGATGGACCCTGACTTTTTTTTTTAGTTATGACCCTAACTCCCAGGTCGACCCAGATTTGAGTGGCTACCAAGTGCAGTCCTGGGAAGTAAAGGCAGCCGGCGTGGTGCTGACCACATCACTCACCGAGTGTCGATTGGTCTATAAATATATAGGCCTAGCCCTATATTCCTAACATACCTAAAGGCGGGGGAAAAGGGACCATTACTGATTGGTATTAGTGTACATGCTTTACTATGTGTGTTATCTGGTTAAGTTGAATTTTTGATAATTGGAATTTTCCTTAGGTACCTGTGACTTCTACTTATCCAGACTTGGCTGTAATTGTTTTCTTTATTGTTTTCCATGTCATTCTGTTTGTTTATTTTGTATTGTTTACCAGTTTCCTATGTAGGTTAGTTTAGTTGTTGTAGTTCTTTATTATCTACTTGTATTGTTACTTAATTTCCTCCTATTCTGTTTGATTGTTTTCTATCTCACTTTTCTTTTATGGATTTGATCTGTTGACTAGCCACCCATCTGCTCTTAAATGTTTCAGTGTAGGGTGTGTATTTTAAGGAGATATCCATGTGCAGTGAATGTTATCTTCTCCAGTCTTGAGCCAATCTAACTAATCCCTTACTCCTTGTAAGTAATTTGTGCAGTGAATGTTATCTTCTTCAGTCTTGAGCCAATCTAACTGATCCCTTACTCCTTGTAAGTAATTTGTGCAGTGAATGTTAACTTCTTCAGTCTTGAGCCAATCTAACTAATCCCTTACTCCTTGTAAGTAATTTGTGCAGTGAATGTTATCTTCTTCAGTCTTGAGCCAATCTAACTAATCCCTTACTCCTTGTAAGTAATTTGTGCAGTGAATGTTATCTTCTTCAGTCTTGAGCCAATCTAACTAATCCCTTACTCCTTGTAAGTAATTTGTGCAGTGAATGTTATCTTCTTCAGTCTTGAGCCAATCTAACTAATCCCTTACTCCTTGTAAGTAATTTGTGCAGTGAATGTTATCTTCTCCAGTCTTGAGCCAATCTAACTAATCCCTTACTCCTTGTAAGTAATTTGTGCAGTGAATGTTATCTTCTTCAGTCTTGAGCCAATCTAACTAATCCCTTACTCCTTGTAATTTGTGCAGTGAATGTTATCTTCATCAGTCTTGAGCCAATCTAACTAATCCCTTACTCCTTGTAAGTTATTCCAGCTTGCTGCATGTTTTTAAGATTATGTTGGTGTTTAAGCAAAACAATGATACCTTCATTTCAGAATTGATGTCACAGAGGGCCAGTTCGCTATTATAGGAGTCTACATTCTTGCTGCATTATTTGGCCCCCAGATATGGTCCGAAGAGGTGAGATTTGTTTTGTTATGTTTTGTGTGTGTAGATGACCTGATGAGTAAAAGCGTTGACATGAACCCTTTCTCCTCGAGAAGCCCAAGTTCTGTTTGTGCCATGGCCTCGTAAATATTCCTTTCCCGGCAGACTGCTTGTTTGTGAGGAGCCCTGCTAACAGTATTGCTTCCATTTATTGCCGGTACAACTTTTTAGAATGACCGTGAGGGAGCATAGTTGCTTAAAAAAAAATAACATGTAGTTGGGATTTCCGTGTGGAAAATGACTTTATTTGTATAAATTAGGACAGGAGAATTTCCCGTAAGGTGCCTTGGTAATTGCCAGCTGTTGACAGGGTCATTAAAAAAAGAGTCACACTTTTAAAGCTCTGATAGATGTAACTCAGTCAGTTCTCTGCTGCATTCATGTTTATTGATTACTCCTGCTATTCTGTATGAAGTTAAATATTCTTTTGGTCCATAAATGGAATTGTTAGTGTTTGTTTGACCTGTTTGTTTATTTTATTTTTTGTGGTTTTTTTTTTTGGGGGGGGGGGGGGGGGGGGGGGGGGGGGGGGTGGGGAATAAACTAACTTGCTAAAACACAGGTGTTTGGCATGGTTTATTCTAGGTTATCGAGGCAAAGGAGTTAAGGAGATGTGATGAATCTAACCCCGAGTTTCCTAAAGTGGGAGATACTACAGAGGGGGGGGCGGGGGGGAGGGGTGCTGATCAGAAAGTAGGAAGTTTCAGCAGTTGTACAATAGTTTTATGCACAGAATAGATCATTATGGCTGGGAGAGAATGATGCAGCAGGGAGGATCAGGGGATCTGGCCAACATTCGGCATCCCAAAGTAAATGCAAGATGGATATATAATCAAACTGCTACTGGGGACAAGCATTTATGAGCATGTTCAGAGCTATCTGTTGTTGGTTCTCAGCCTAACTCATTTCTGTTACATATGTGAATGAACACATGAACATAAATTACAAATATGAACTGCTTTACACTAACAAAAGCCCGTTGATTCAACAAATATGTATAATTGCCCAGTTTTTTAATGTTTATTTTTGGCGGTTTTCTAGATTCCGGTTCTCAACATCCAGTTGAAAATGCTGCCACTCTTGTTTAGTTTGGCTGGAGCAGCTGTCCAGTTGAAGTCAGCCTTTAGCGTCATCTTTTTGCAAGGAGGTGTAGGAAAAAATGGATCCACTGTAGCGGTGAGTTGTCAGCTGAAGTAGTCTGTGTTGTCAACTAAGGTAGACTGAGTTGTCAACTAAGGTAGACTGTATTGTCAACTACGGTAGATTGTATGAGTTTTCAGCTTCATAGACTGTGAGTTGTTAACTTTTGTAGACAGTTGTATAACTTTGAAATGTGTTTGCTGCTAAAGTTTCTATGTGACAGCTGTATTTGTTTTATTTAAGTTGTCATATTTAAACTGACATACCACTGTCATGTGTGTGTAAAACTGACATACCACTGTTATGTGTGCATAAACTGACATACCACTGTCATGTGTTTATAAAACTGACATACCACTGTCATGTGTATATCAAACTGACATACCATTGTCATGTGTTTATAAAACTGACATACCACTGTCATGTGTATATAAAACTGACATACCACTGTCATGTGTGTATCAAACTGACATACCACTGTCATCTGTGTATAAAACTGACATACCACTGTCATGTGTGTATCAAACTGACATACCACTGTCTTGTGTGTATAAAACTGACATACCACTGACATGTGTGTATAAAACTGACATACCACTGTCATGTGTGTATCAAACTGACATACCACTGTCATGTGTGTATCAAACTGACATACCACTGTCATCTGTGTATAAAACTGACATACCACTGTCATGTGTGTATCAAACTGACATACCACTGTCTTGTGTGTATAAAACTGACATACCACTGACATGTGTGTATAAAACTGACATACCACTGTCATGTGTGTATAAAACTGACATACCATTGTCATGTGTTTATAAAACTGACATACCACTGTCATGTGTGTATCAAACTGACATACCACTGTCATGTGTGAATCAAACTGACATACCATTGTTTTGTGCAATAGTAACATTCCACCCTCACAGTACTCTGTTTGGTATTTGCTTGCATGTACACACCTGCAGCACTTAAATAATATTATATGGGACTTGTGTAACAGCTGCTGCTTGTTTGACATTGGACACCTGTGCAAAGTTGTGACATTATCCCCAGAGCTGATGGAGCACACTGATTTTGTTATTGGCGTATCATAACTGAACAGAGTATATGGATGTTAGAAGAGCAGAAGATTAATATTAAAAACTTCCCTGTGTGGATCCCAGGGCCCCATAGTGGGGAAAGCAAGAATAGATCCACTGCCTCCCCTACAAACATGTCATAAGAGTCGACTAACTAAGGTCTCCCTTCGAAGTCGGAGTGCATCTGCCTAAAAGGCAAGGAACCAACAGTCTGCATACAGATAAGTCAGATCTGTAAAATGGATGTGCATGCAACACTTAGGTTCTGGAACACGTCTGAAGTCTAGAGGTGGTTGAACAACCAGAACTTTCTGCCGGAGTTTAGATGCAACAGAAGTGGTTAAACTAGTAATACAGACGCAATAGAAGTGGTTAAACTAGTAATTGAGATGCAGAGGAATAATTTAACATATGTCTGTGATAGAAGACAACAAGACTATTATATTGTCTTTGGAGTAGCCAAGAAACATGTGATGAGTCGTTTGGTTCTGAAAGATTTAATCTGAATACAAATAAAAAGGTTTGTTTTTTCTTTTGGCCATTGCAGGGTACCAGCACCATCTTCCCCATTCTTCCAATATCACTTGTGATCCTGCTTGCCTTCATGATACAGCAGAAGTCTCCATCACTGCTGTTTGAGAACCATCCCTGTCTGTACCTGTTGGCTTTTGGGTTGTTGGCTGCCAAAGTGACCAATAGACTTGTGGTTGGTATACTTTGAGTTTCTCATTTGTTGTGTCTCAGAGTGTATAGAGATGGATGGATGGATGGATTAATAGGCAAAGATGCAAATAGATACTGTGATGACCCTGCTTTGCATGGTCTCCACGAGTACATTGTGGCAAGCAGGAAGTCCGTGCTACAATTGACGGCACGAGATACTTGTGGCCGGTGGAGTAAGCGAGGGAAAGCCCGAGCTAGCCTCGTGGTCAGTCGATCTTCACAAGTCAGGGAAGACGGTTGTAGTAATTGAAGATGTAGTTTTTATGTCGCGCGAATGGTTAGTGTTGGAATATGTCGCGAGTGATAAAGTGTGAATAATTGTTTAAGCATGTTGAATACATGGACCAGAATAAACTGATAGCATGTACCTAGAAGCTGAGCGGCGTTTGTGTTGTCAACCCTAGACGTTAAAGCAGTACAAGTTTTGTAGCAGTAAACATCCAGAGAGTGAGCCGTGGCGACAGCCAATAGGTAGTAAGCCATAGGTTATTCCAAGTTAAACCAAGGTTTATCACAGACACATACACAATTCCCAGGGTAGACCTACAGAAAGAGTTGAATAAAGCACTAACATCAAATCACGAGAGACATTTTCTCACGCCCTCACTCCTCATCCTCAGCAGTCAGCAAAGAGTTGATTTCTTCTTCTTCTTCATTTAACGTTGACCACTTTCAGCTAGGTCAGAAAACATTTCTGCTCTATTTCCTGTTTGCTGTATTTGTGGTGATGTTTCTGGTCCTAATCTCATCTGGTTTTGGATTGTGCTTTCAGTGTTCTGTTGCTCGGTGTTTGTTGTGGTTTTCCGCTCAATTAGCTGTTTTTGTAACTGGCTTTTGAAAGATACCAGTAGAAGTACATCTTGTCATTCAGGTGAATGTAGAGTGTCGGCCCGATCCCCTGGTCTGTGGACATAAACTAGTGTGAGAGATAAATGGACCTGCAGATGGATACATATATTAGTTTAAAAAAATAGAAAGCAGGCAGCAGACCATTTTTTTATTCTTAGTGTACACCAACGGATAGTTCTGGTTATGTGTACAGTTCTGGACTTTACAGATATGCTTGTTTCTATGCAGATTGTTGGTTCCTTACCTTTCAGGCAGATGTGCCTGTTGCATTGAAGGAAACATCCCTAACTGGTCGCTTGTAATGACATTCTTGTTAGCATATCAGTGGGTCTGTTCTTTGTTCTCCACATTAAAGCCCTGGAACCCACCCTCGGATCTTAATTAGTGATTACCTCCGTGTAGGTTCCGGGACTCCATTGTAAAAGGGGGGGGGGGGGGAATTACTCACTGCCTGCCCAAAAGCATGTTGTAAGAGTCAACTAATTGGGAGCTTCCTTCAAAGTCGGAGTTCATCTGCCTGAGAGGCAAGGACCAGCAGTCTGAATGCAAATGAGTCAGACCTATGAAACGGTTGTACACGCAAACTCAGATATCTGGAACAGGACTAGAATCCAGAATTGGACGAACAACCAGAACTTTCCACTGGAGTTTACAGCCAGTGAACGCAAAGAAGAAGAATTAATGATTAGTGAGGACTGTCATCACAGCTCTCCAGGCAGATCAATAAGAGTTCCAGTCTCCTTTTCAGTAGCCCCCTCAAGAGTAAAAACGATTAATCATGCCAGTTCTGGTTTGATTAAACATGTCTTCTGTTTTCTAAGCAAAATGTTACGTTTGGTAGCTGCAGGTTGCACTCCCATATCTACCACTCTGACAAAGATACTGAGTCCTGCTTGTCCTGATCTTTGCGATATGCATCTCATTTGGCCTGAATGACATCACTCCTGCCCAGGACCGGACCAGTCACATTAACCTTCTTACCAAATAATTTGCAGATAATCCTTAATTAGTCACTTTTTATGACATGCTAAAGGTTTATCAGTCTCATCCCCCCCCCCCCCCCCCCCCCCCCCGCACCCCCACACACACAAATAGGCCCTGGAGCGAAAGTTGGGAAGAGTTATCATTTCCTTCTAGACTTCCGGCTTGGCCCTTTATGGTTGTGCCCTCTGGACTCCAGTTTCCCTCATCTTCTACTTTCTTCCTCTCTCCTTTATCCATCAGTGGAGCATAGACCCTCAACCAGCTGATGTCACGTCATCCTTGACTGTCACATGATGCTCACCCCATGTTCTTCCTTGTCTTGTTCACCTCATTCTTCAGTTGTCTTCTTCGTATGGTCTTTAGTCTGCCTCTGACCCTCTTCTTCGTATGGTCTTTAGTCTGCCTTTGACCCTGTGGATTTAGTTTCAAGCACATTCTGTTTATATTTCAAGACAGTTATTGGTTTTTTTTTTTTTCAGGTCACCGTTGTCTTGATAATTATTTACAGTTTTCCTTAAGACACCCAGAGGCCAAGGCATGGCAGTTATATGTTATTATCCTCAAAACATCTCTGGCATGACAGTTACCTGTTATCATACTCTAGACCTCTCTGGCATGGTAGTTATTTGTTATCATCCTCAAGTCATCTCTGACATAACAGTAATTTATCATCCTCATGACATCTCTGACATAACAGTAATTTATCATCCTCAAGACATCTCTGACATAACCGTAATTTTTCATCCTCAAGACATCTCTGACATAACCGTAATTTTTCATCCTCAAGAGATCTCTTGCATGACAGTTATTTGTTATCATCCTCAGGACATCTCTGACATAACAGTAATTTATCATCCTCAAGACATCTCTGACATAACAGTAATTTATCATCCTCAAGACATCTCTGACATAACAGTAATTTATCATCCTCAAGACATCTCTGACATAACAGTAATTTATCATCCTCAAGACATCTCTGACATAACAGTAATTTATCATCCTCAAGACATCTCTGACATAACAGTAATTTATCATCATCAAGACATCTCTGACATAACAGTAATTTATCATCCTCAAGACATCTCTGACATAACAGTAATTTATCATCCTCAAGACATCTCTGACATAACAGTAATTTATCATCCTCAGGACATCTCTGACATAACAGTAATTTATCATCCTCAAGACATCTCTGACATAACAGTAATTTATCATCCTCAAGACATCTCTGACATAACAGTAATTTATCATCCTCAAGACATCTCTGACATAACAGTAATTTATCATCCTCAAGACATCTCTGACATAACAGTAATTTATCATCCTCAAGACATCTCTGACATAACAGTAATTTATCATCCTCAGGACATCTCTGACATAACAGTAATTTATCATCCTCAAGACATCTCTGACATAACAGTAATTTATCATCCTCAAGACATCTCTGACATAACAGTAATTTATCATCCTCAAGATGTCTCTAGCATAACAGTAGTTTGTCATCCTCAAGATGTCTCTAGCAAAACAGTAATTTATCATCCTCAAGACATCTCTGACATAACAGTAATTTATCATCCTCAAGACATCTTTGACATAACAGTAATTTATCATCCCCAAGACATCTCTGGCATGTCAGTTATTGATGATTTCCCTTGAGACATCCCTGACTTAATATTTACTGATTACTTTTTCCACAGGTAGCTCATATGACAAAAAGTGAAATGGATTTGTGGGATTCAGGTTTGATAGGACCTGGTGCTCTGTTTCTCAATCAGTATTTTAACTGTTGGTTCAATGAGCTTATTGTTTTGTGGCTGTGTTTGGTGAGTACACCTTTTTTTTTCTTTGTCATCTGTTTTTGTTTGTTTCTTTCTTTCTTTCTTTCTTTCTTTCTTTCTTTCTTTCTTTCTTTCTTTATTTATTTATTTATTTATTTATTTATGTTTTTAAACAAAACTTTTAGTGAGTCTTCATAAAGTAATCGAGTCAATTAAGAATTCTTTGCTGTGTTTTCACTGTATCTTGAAGTTCATTTTATATTGTTTAAAGGGGTTTTCCTGTTCTTCTCGTTCGCCAGCTGTAAACTCTGGTGGAAAGTTCTGGTTGTTGTCTAGCTCTGGACTTAAGCTATGTTCCAGAACTTGAGTGTTGCGTGCACATCCATTGACCAGCTCTGGACTTGAGTTGTGTTCCAGAACCTAAATGTTGCGTGCAGGTTCGTTTAATGAATCTGACTTGTATGCAGATTGTTGGTTCCTGGTTCCTTGCCTATCAGGCAGATGCACTCCGACTTTGAAGAAAGCTCCCAATCACTCAACTTTTACGACATGCTTGTTGGGTAGGCAGTGGGTCTATTCTTGTTTGCCCTATAATAGGGCTCCCGGAACCTACATGGGAAGACAGTTAATCTAAATACTATGGATTTTATGACTTTTTGTGTGTGAGATGTCGGATTCACAATAGTCGAATTCCAGACATAGATAATTGAAACAAGGGACTATCTGATTGGAATATTTTTTCATCTAGAAGGTTGATAGCTAAGTAAATTTTAATGAATCAAAAGGTGAGGAAAAGACTGGCATTGGATAGACACACAGTGACAAAACTTCATAACAATACAACTAAAATATACTTGCACTGGAACCCACAGGGTCAAAGAAGTAAAGACAAACTACACAAATTGATGTAGAAGAGAATTAGATAACACGGGAACACATGGAGTGAGCTGCAGGCTCTGGTAAATGATAGAGTTGCTTGGTGTTTGTGTACCTGTGTTTTCCTATCTTTGTCTGGTCTGAGAACTGAAGTAATTTTTAATCCCACCTGGTTTAAGTATTTGGGTTTAGTGCATTATCATCATAGGCATTCATCCATATTCACAGATCTCTCCCTTGTTCCCTGGATCACTTCCACCAATGATATCCCCCCCTATGCCACTGATGCAGTCCATCCGTCATCATCTCTCTTGGTCTGCCTCTCCCTCTTCTACCTTTGATATTTCCATACGTTACAACATTCTCCATAACCCCCCATCCCCCAATCACATGACCAAAGAACAGTGCTTGTTTTTTCCTGATATATAGCTGTATATATTGATCTGCTTTCATTAGCTTCCTTCAAGCAATCCTCATTAGTTACTTTTGCAGTCCAAGGGATTCTTAAGATAGGTCTGAAAAAAACCACATCTCCGACGCCTCCAAGGTCTTTCTGATTTGTGCAGTTCTGTAACCCTGTGTGCTTTCTCAGCCAATGCATGTTCAGTATTGCCATTCCACATTTGCAGAGGTTTGCCTGTGCCTAATTTTCCAAAAACTTTATCCCCCCCCCCCCCCCCCCCCCCCTTTTCGTTAATATAAGTTTTCTTCATCATCATCAGTTTTTTAGAAAGAAAAAAATCATCACGTTCAACGACATCTCCAAAGGAGGAGCTTTAGGTTATAATTGTGACTAGATTATGTGCACAATATAAAAGGGCTCAGTACTGCATGCCACCAAAAGCCCTAATAAGGACTCTTGCAGAGGAGACAGACCCAAATAGTGTCCTTACCAGCGATGAAGTCATCTACCGGCTAGCCGATAGATGACCCGGTTGCTGATAATATGTATGCGTTTTTTCGGCTTCCACCTATATCTAGTGGAGCCTCCGCTTGTTTTCCACTATGAATACCATAAAGATGACCGTTGACATAGGACTGGCTGCCTCATCCTGCATAAAGCTTTATCTGAAAAATCTGCAAAGTGTAAACAAGGCTGCAAGAGTTTAGCATGAGTTGATTAAGGGCCTATGCTACAGTAGCACCAGGAAGGAGGGGCAGGGGCTGACCGACACGAAGATGGGCACAGGATATAAGTGACTCCTTGAGTGTGAAAGTGCATGAGGCGGGAGAACTGGCGAGAGACTTGAGTTTCTTTCAGGCAGACTGTGATAAGAGCGACGTTCTGCAAAGGACCTGCTACATGATGATGATGATGATGCTACAGTAGCAGATAAGGTTAAAGGTCATTACATGAGGTTGATTATTTTCATTATTTGTCCTCAGCTGTGGGTGGTGTTCGATATACTGCGATACTCAATCATCGTTTGCCAGGAAATTTGTGAATATCTTCAAATTTATTGCTTCACAATCACGTCACGGCCAGGCTCGCACAAGAAGGACGCAGACTTCAAAAATGGCAGGTTTAGTTGAAGTGTGAACAAATGTAGATATTGTTTCGTTCATGTTATATATAGACTTTATGGAAGTAGGGTTTTTCATACATTCTCAGTGGTATCCATGGGAACATTTTAAGAGAGTAGAGAATGGTTGGCTACTGCTGACAGTCAGTGTAGACTGAAACTGAAGACTGTAATGAACAAGGCATTCTGTTTGTTGTGTTTATCTTCATTTCAGGCTTTACATTTTACTTCTTGTTTTATTTATTTTATTGTGAGGTTCTGTTTTGTTGACTTTCACATCATTTGTTTGGTATGAGACGTGTTCTTGATTTCCAGATAACTGTTTTTTAAGCCTACGAGTAGGAATTAAACATGAATTTACCAGATTTCCAGATAACTGCATTTTACGCCTGCGAGCTAGAATTAAACTTTAGTTGACCATTTAAACTGCATTTGTACTGATATATGGTGTTGTAGAGGCATGATGACCCATGCCACTCAGCAAGGCACTTGATGATGATGATGATGATACTGAATTTTAAAATGCCCTTTTTGCTTTGATAAATGAATTCTTACACATGAAAATGGTATTTGTTTTCTGGTCTTTTGAAATACAATTCCTAATTTTCTCGCTAGTCTTAAAAAAGAGACTATTTACAGTGACCTCAAAAAATATTTTGTTATTTGGCGACATTGGGTTACCTGGCCACACAGTTTTACCAGTAGTAAACGATATTATTATTAGTTTAGCAGTAACATTTTAGAAGGTGCACTTACTGTAAATTAAAAGTGATTGATTTGAAATGTTAGAGCAAAATAAAACTATTTGAAATGATAGAGCAAAATAAAAACTCTTTGGGCAAAGTCCTACATAGTAAGTGAGCTACAATAACTGAAACATTTTAGTGTCATTATTTAGTCTTCAGAAAAACGAATGTTTAAATTGTGGTCATTATTCTCAGTGAATATCTTTGTCTGGAATAAGTTCAGAAAATGAAACCTTTTGATTATTTAGTTTGTGTTGAACGTCTTTGTCTAGAAGGAGTTTAGAAAAGTGAAACATTATGATATTGGTAAAGGGGAGAGGATTGACTTCATTGCACCGGGTTTTATCCCACATGGCTCAGTCTCTCTCTCTGCTAGCTACCCGCTGAGAGCATTGCACGGAGCACAAATTCCGTAGTTGGCGACGATCTCCAGGATCTGCGTAAAAATTGCACCCATGAACTGAATGGTGCCACCGCGAAGCGAACCCACGACCTTTAGAGTATGAGACTAACGGCTTGATCACCTCACCATGGCCACACCTTAATATTGGTCATTGTTCCCGTCAACGGTGAATGTCTAGAAATGGGATGGAGAACCTTTATTGTTCAAGGGCCGTTTTTATAATTTTAACATCATTTGTGGACCCTTCAAGAATATTATCTTCCCACACTCCCCTCTTCTCCCCCCAATCATTGGGACTGCAATTTACTTTTAACTGTAGGGGTGCCCCAGTGTAACTATATGGGGGTGCTTTGCTGGAAAAAATGTACAATCGTCATGCTCAGCTAGCATCCCCAGAGGGGGAGCTTTAGGTTATAATTGTGACTAGGCTATGTGCGCCATATAAAATGGCTTAACGTTTCACGCCACCAAGGACTCTTGCGGTGTTGGTGCTGTCAAAGGAGACAGTCACAAGTACTGTCCTGACCAGCGATGAATTCGTCTACTGATGAACCAGTGGGTGACCTGGTCCCCATTATAACCATGTTATTTCGTTGAATAGGATTTCTGGGATTTTCTCAGGACAGCAGTTCTTGAGAGGTACAATGACTGACCCACAATATCAGACTATCCACTTACAAATTATCCTGTTTATTTTGTTAAACATTTAATTGTGTTTGTAATAGTTGGGTTGGATTAGATTATTTTGCTAGCCTTGTAAAAGCCCATGGACTGGATGTTCCACTCCATTGGTCTATAAAAATCCACGAAATCTTAAGACTTTGTGAGTGCAACAACTGTTCAGTCAGTAATAATATATTTTTATTACTTTGTTTCAGACATTCAACCATGTTTCTGCCTTTTCTATGCCCATAGTTAGTTGATGGCATGATCTTGTGTTCTTGGTACTGCATTGAAAACTCCTTCCATGATGTGTTGATATTTCCATTCTCCTCTTGGTGTCATTTTGATCATCCATATGTTTCCTTTACCTTGTGAAGAAAATTGCCTTGCTGTTTTGTCTGTGAAAATATTCATCCCCAAGTTCAAGTGTCTATTTTTTTTATAGGGTCTTCATGACCACTGAAGAGATACTGTTTTGGCACTGGTCGCATATCTGGTTCTTCAGCAAATTCACTTATATTTACCTATCCAGTGAATCCACTGTCATTCATCAATTTCTTTAGTGGATCCGCTGACATTTATCAAGCACTTTTAGTGAATTTGGTTATATTTATGAACCTTGAACAAGATGGTTTTGTGATGTAAACAAGAAACAGGATCATAGCTCAAGCATTCCAGATAAATAAATAGACCACTTATTAGTTTTTTAGTTGCTAGGATGTGCTAGAAAGAAAAAAAAATGTCTATTCATGCTATACTAAAAGAGTGCAAAGTCAAGAGGATCTGCTTATTGCACTCGGTTTTATTCCATATCGCTCAGTCTCTCCCCGCAGACTGGCCTACCACCTGCCGAGAATGTCACACAAAATATGAAACCCATAGCTCCAGCGTGAATCCTCTGTATCTCTATTAGAAAATTGCATTTGTCAATCAAGCAGTGCAGTCCTTAAACCAAACCCACAACTTTCAGATGGTATAGCTTAATTACTTGGCCAAGGAGAACCCCCTTTCCATCGAAAGCTTTACTTTGCTGATGTACCGTGTTTCCCTAAAAATGAGACTTGGTCTTACATTAATTTTTACTCCAAGGCATGTCATATTGTGTTGTGTCCAGTTATCTACATTTATTTAACTTTTTCTCATATGCCAAAAAAGTGGGTCATAAACAGCCAACTAATAAATTGTTTACAAATTAATTTATCTCCTCTGTATAGATTTTATTTTAAAAATATATATAAATATATAGTAAAGAAGTAATCAGAAATAAGAACGGAGTTAAATATTAAATGGTATGTATTCTCCTGGGCCTAGAACACATATGTATTGGGCGTCACATGCAGTGACCCTGTGACCTCCGTCACTGAGTTTACTGCAGAATTTCAAGTCACCTGGCTTTAAAAACTATTTGACTCACACGGAAACATCTCTAAAAGCTGTATTTAGTTCATGTATTAACATCTGGACCTCCTAAACTTTGTGTAGGCACACATAGAACCAGTGGCATTTAACTGCGCCTTTCAAGTACAGGCCACTGCAGAAATGGCAATATATTGGCATTGACGAGGCTGTGTCATAACTGAACGTGACTAGCTTTCTCTGGGCGATAGTGGTAATTATTGAAATATGTATTTATTCAGTTATAAAAATGTAAATTCATTCAGGTATGTTTCTTCCCATGTGAAAAACAATAACAGACCCACCACCTACCCAGAAGCATGTCATAAGAGTTGACTAATTTAGAGCTTTCTTCGAAGTCAGAGTTCATCTGCCTGAGGGGCGAGGAACCAACAGTCTGCATAAAATGAGTCAGATCTATCAAACAGATGTGCACTCGGGTTCTAGAAGAGGTACTAAAGTCCAGAGGTGGACAGACACCCAAACCTTCCTCCCGAATTTACAGCTGGTGAACCAGAAGAAGTAGAAGGTATTTTTTCATTACTTTACAGCTGAGTTCATCCTTTGTGTGTCCCAGTGGACACCAAAAACAAAACTGCCTGCCTGGGTACCAATCCTTTAACTGGACATGTATTTGGACTAGGGTTTATATTACAAGTATCCTCAAAAATCATGCAGGTTAAGACTTATTTTTGGGGTAACACAGTAGAATTGTTGCAGTGTTTGGACAGTAACTTTGCCAAGAGAGAAGGATTCTGCAGCTGAGAGCCAGCAGTCATATTTGAGCATAAAGAAGCAGATTATTTATAAATTATTGTGTTATATTTGATGTTTAATGCTTAGTGAATTTCCATCTACATTAGATTATGTGTTAATATTATTTTGCTCCTGTATTTTTTTTTTTTTTTACATTGTCAACCAATTAGTGAAAAATTATGCTGAAGCTATATAGGTGGAGTTTTATAGATATATGATGGTTGCACAGATGAAAAGTATAATTAAGTGGCAGCCAATTAGTGAAAAATTATGTTGAAGCTATGTTGGTGTAGTTTTATAAATATATGATGGTCGCACAGATTAAAAGGGTAATGAGGAAAGAAATTAACTCAGAAGAGAACTGGCTGCATCAGTAGGAGACAGTCTACATTCTTTAGTCACGTCTGGAGAAAGGAAATCCTCTCCCCCCCCCCCCCCCCCCCCCCCCCCCCCCCCCATTGTTGTTGTTATTGTTATCGATCCAGCGGCGCATGAGCTTTCGCCCTTTGGCCCAATGCCATATAGTGGAATTTGCATGTTTTCACAAGGTGTTCCACTTGTCTGGTCTCGGAGGGAGTAGCGTTCTTCTTGTCTCACTGAGTTTTGGGCACTCAAAGAGATGGTGTTCAACAGTTTCGTAGGGGTAGTTACATAGCTGGCACTCTGGGGAGTGACCCCCCTCCCATGATCTTGGCTCCCAGCCAAGGTACAGTCCTGGGACTTGTAGGTGACCAGCGTGATACTGACAACATCACCCACAGTGTGAGGTTTGGTCTGTATAATATGTATCCAATACGCCTGAAGGTATGAAACAGGATACTTGATTTCCACGAGACAGAAGGTTGTTGAAAGACGTGACTACCATCCCCATGCGACACTGACTGTACGAAAATTTATAATATTACTTTTATTTGACTGCCTAAACATTTTATTTAATTCATCAATTTGTTTTTGTAGTCACTTTTTCAACTCTTAATGTTAATTAACTTAAAAGTTGGCTATATTTGTAAAGTAATTAATGTAATGATGAACCAGGTTCCCAGTTAT